CACAGATTTCATTTAAACGTGATTATGTTTTATAGCTATAATCAGTGCATGGGCGAAAAGAACCCAGTTGGGTGATTAGGGATGCAGTAGCTAAAGCACTTGTTTATTACTATCCCTATGCGGGCAGGCTCATTGAAGGGCCTTCAAATAAGATTCTTGTCAACTGCACAGCTGAAGGGGTGGTGTTTAGAGAAGCTATTGCAGAGGTTAGGCTCGATCAACTTCGTGACTTCATGCAGCCACCATTTCGTTACTCAAAGGAGTTCTTGGTGGATGCTTCTGGCTCTACAGAGATCTTGGAGAGTCCGTTGATGTTGATTCAGGTGAGCAAAACATTCAGGCTAACTCTGGCCTCTTCGTCTTCCGGCCAAACCGAATATCTATGTCTGATTATCTACAAATTGCTACATGACCGTGTACGTTCTACAAGTGGTTTTATGTAAAGTAAAAAATAGATAAAAGGGAAAATCGTCCAAAACGTCCCTCACATTTTGTAAAATAATTTTTTTCGTCCCTCACTTTTAAAAGTGTAATTTTATGTCCCTTACATATTCACATCGGTCAAATTTAGTCCCTAACTAGGTTTCCGATCATTTTTTGGCCGAAATCCATCATGTGCAAGGCACGTGATCATTTTTTAAGGGTAAATTTGTCAAATTATATTTTACATAATCTAATCTATAGTCCTCCATATTTTATAAAATAAATTTTTCGTCCCTCACATTTTATAAAATGATTTTTTTATCCCTCACATTTCACAAAATGAATTTCTCCATCCCTCACATTTCAAAAAATGAATTTTTCATTTCTCACTAATTATGTGTGTGAATACATTTTTTTAAAACAAATGCATAAGTCTATTTGATTTTGCTTAATAATAATAGTATAAACACATGTATGTAATTGGGCCCAACTTGTGGGCTATTTTCTCTTTTTTGTATGATTATGACTAATATTTATCAATAGAACCTTAATTTGCATATTCTTATTGTATTTTGACCGAAAATAGCTTTATTGGCCAACTTGACAATGAATGCAAGATTTTTTACTAGCTAATACCAGATGAAATCAAATGATCACGTATAATATATGGTATTCGTATTGTTAAGTGAAATCAAATAGACACATGCATATATTTAAGCTATTCGTATTATTAAGTAAAATCAAATAGACATATACATGTGTTTAAACAAAATGTATTCACACACATATTTTTTTTTTTTAGGGTTTCCCTCAGACACATAATTAGTGAGGGATGGAAATATTCATTTTTTGAAATGTGAGGGATGGAGAAATTCATTTTGTGAAATGTGAGGGATAAAAAAATCATTTTATAAAATGTGAGGGACGAAAAAATTTGTTTTATAAAATGTGGAGGACTATAGATTAGATTATGTAAAATATAATTTGACAAATTTACCCTTCAAAAATGATCACGTGCCTTGCACGTGATGGATTCCGGCCAAAAAATGATCGGAAACCTAGTTAGGGACTAAATTTGACCGATGTAAATATGTAAGGGACATAAAATTACACTTTTAAAAGTGAGGGACGAAAAAAGTCATTTTACAAAATGTGAGAGACGTTTTGGACGATTTTCCCTAGATAAAAAGCACACCTGATTGCAGTGACTGACCCAGACATACTCTAAAAATGTGTGAGCATATTATAGCATCCACCCTTTTGTGCTTTTTCATAAATATTCAATTAGTCCCTCTATGATTTTACATCTATTTACATAATCCCTTTGTAGTTGTATAAGTGGATAGACCTTCATTCTATTTAGTATTTAAATGAGGATAATACTGCCATTTCAATTAACAACATCACTAAGATCTTTTGCGTCAAATTTTCATTTTATAAAAAATGACAAAGTGGTTAATTTGTAGATATTTTGAAACTTAAAGGACTTATATGATAACATAAGAGACATGGGGGATAAAAATAATTTATACTTTAAAATAGTGGTAGTTAAATAGTCAAGGAAACAATCCAAATATGTGGAGCTATAGCGTTTTATTTTTTGGGTAAATTACTTTTTATCCCTCCATGCTTTGATGTTTTACCACATAATCACTTATGGTTAAAAAACTTATCTATAACCCCCTTGTGGTCTAGATTAATGTGTTGCTATTAGTTTTGCCATTAAAACTAATGGTCAATAAAAAAAAAGTTAAAGTCAAACTAATAAATTGACAAATTCATTATTTCACTACTTTTTTCTCATTTTTCTTTTTTTTTTCTCTCTTTTTTTTTGGGGAATAGAATCTTTGAAAACCTATATTTTTGCCCACAAAATATCAATTTTCTTCAAATACGAAAGAGACGGAAGGGAAATAAAAATAAATAAATAAGAAACAAAAAAGATGGAAGGAAAATATAAAACAAACAAATAAGAAAAAAAATACCAAATTTTTTTTGACTACAAATATCATTATAGGTTTTTAAACCAAATTCTTAATGGTATTTTCTAGTTCTTATTTATCTATTTTTTTCATTTCAATTCTTTGAACCAAATACGGACGATGACATTTTAATCCAAATATAAGGGGTTTACATATAGGTTTAAAACTATAGAGATATATGTGATAAAGCACCAAACTAAGGGGATAAAAAGGAATTCACCCTTATTTTTTTCATTCGGACAAAAAACTCCACTGACCACTGTATCATGAAATTTTATACTTTAGTCATTCAAATTTTTTCTTAATTCCAAAATGGTACTAAACTCACAAAATCAGTATACTAGTGGCTATTCTGTGTAATTTGCTGTTAATCCTAATAGAATTAGCAGCACTATTTCTAGTCTTGTTATGTGAATTTTAAGTACATAAAGTTATCAGTAAAATGAACTTCTCACAATATTGAGCAATTTTCACTTGAAAGCTCCAATTATAAATTACAAAATTCCTATTTATTTACAAACTTTACCAGAAGGCTTTTTTGTTGTCATTTTGGTTTTTTGGGGTCAAAATTCAGGTGACCCGCTTAAGCTGTGGTGGACTTGTCCTTGCTATTCGCATAAACCATACAATTAGTGATGCAATTGGCTTGGTCCAGTTTCTGAATGCTGTAAGCCAAATATCCAAAGATCCATCGTCAGCACCTTCTCCATTACCTGTGTGGCAAAGATGGCTCTTAAGTGCAAGAAATCCACCATATGTCACGTGTGCATAATGAGTTCGAGGTGGAGAAAAACAGTAATAGCTGCACTGAGCCTACAACATTGGACTCCCCTCTCAACCTTGTACGCAAAAGCTTCTTTTTTGGAGCACAAGAGACAAAAGCGATCAAGAAATATCTTCCACCAAACATTCCTTATGCGTCAAAATTTGATTTGGTAACTGCATTTGTATGGAGATCAAGAACAATAGCCTTACAATTGGATCCTGAAGAAATCGTTACTCTTACCTATGCAGTCAATGTTCGTGGTAAAAATAAACCAAAGTTGCCTAGTGGTTATTATGGCAATGGATTCGTCTCTCCTGCTGCAGTCTCAAAGGTCAACCAATTGTGCAACAATTCATTTGTCTATGCATTAGAGCTAGTGAAGAAAGCAAAACATCAAGTTACTGAGGGCTTCATCAAATCGGCCATTGACTATAGTGTTTTGCATGGAAAACCAGGGTATTCTACGTTGTTGAAGGATTGGATTGTTTCGGATGCATCAAGAGCTGGAATTGACAAGGTAGATTTTGGCTGGGGAAAGCCAATTTATGGTGGAACCATGGATGGAGGGCCAACTTTTAATATGACAGTTTATTTGCAATTTCGAAATAACCAAGGGGATGATGGTTTGGTGGTGCCAGTGTGCTTGCCTGTTGCAGCCATGGAGAATTTTCAGAAGGAGATGGAGAAAATGATCAAGGGGCCAATGGACGAGTGCAACAAATTTTGGCATCCTAGGATTATATCTATGCTTTAAAGCAATGATAAAATCATCATGTGGGGACTTTTTGGAAATTATATGTCTACTTGGCTTTTCTTGAAAATTTTGACTTTTATTTTCTTATATTAAGCTTCTATTATTTTCTTTTTCTTTTTGGTTTTCGTTAGCGACAATAAAATTCTTATAATAAAGTGAAACAAAATTTACTGATACCACGGGTAGGTGAAGAATTACTATCAATCCTTTTAAATATAACCAAAAATTCATTGAGACCAACTTGTGTACACCAAAGTGGAATATTCCTTGCCACGCTCAAGAATATTACGAGTACATATAAAGATATTTTATGACTAATTTCTATTACAACTTTGACTATCAAAATTTAACAAGCCTAGTTGGATGTCATATATACAAAATTTGATATTCAAATTCAAATTCAAATGATATGGTATTTATCCAATCCTATTTGTATATACATTAACACTGTAGGAAAAATTAATCTTTATAGTTTACCTTTAATAACTTCAATAAATATAAGATTTTCCTTCCACAAATATGTAGCGTATTTACACGCACAACTATAGTCTTTTATTTGTTAGCCTAAGGACATGCCTATAATATTCATTTTCTTTTATTTGTTTTCATCACAATTTTCTTCAAAATTGAGAACTTTAGCTACAAAATTTGTTTTCATTACAACTTTAGGATCTTCAGTGCATTCCCCAACTTTAGGACCTACAATTCTTTCTAGACAAATTCAAGCTAACTGACGGGCATTTTACATACGTGCAAGCTGTAGACACCAAATTTTTGTCAATTTTTAATATTTTCTCAAGATTTTTCTATTTAATGAATTATTTATTTTCTAGCATTTTAATGTGCATTTTTCTCATTTTTGCAGGTTTACTTGAAAAAAAAAAAGAAGAAAAAAAAAGTGAGAAAAGAAAAGAAAAAGAAACCAAACAAAACAAAAAACAAAAACAACAAACAACAAAAAGAAAACAAAAAAAATCATCATAATCATTTTCTCTACCAAAATACATTTAACCCATTTCACACTCAATTGCCAGGGACCTTTCTTTTCATTGGCAGAAGTCATCATTTCGGAAAATCCTACACACAAGCTCCATTTTTTGGCTACAAGTCCCTCTCGGCTCTCTCTGGAAAAAGGGGGGGAAAAACAGACAAGGAAAAGAAGGGAGGCTCTCGGCTCTCTCTCTGGGCTCTCAACCGAAAAAAAAGAAAAAATTTTCCCTCCCTCTCTCGGCTAGCTCTTAACAGACAGGGGACAAGCCACAAAAAAAAGGCTCTCGGCTCTCTCTGGGCTGGACCGAAAAGAAGAAGAAAAAAAAAAGAGAAAAAAACTACTTCCTCAATCTACTCTCTCGGCTCTCACAGACGGAGGACAAGAAACAAAAACAGAGACAAGGAAAAAAGAAGGGAGGCTCTCGGCTCTCTCTCTTGGCTCTCTACCGAAAAAAGAAAGAAAGGCATCAAAAAAACTTCAGCCAAGGCAATTCCACTTTCATTGAGGTATTTTCCAGTTTTTTTTTTAAGCATATTAGATGCATTTTGATTTTAATTTATCTTGCTTTTGCTGGTTTTTATTGTTGTTGTTGTATTGCTGAAAATTGGGAAATGGCATGAACTAGATTGAGGAAAAGGAAATGTTTTTTATGCATGCATGTTAACCGTTTGAAAAAATACCAAAATGAAAAGAAAGAATCTTAGGGGACTGTTTTGATTTATTTTAGTCCTTTTATGTTGTTTTTCTTGTCAAAATAAAATCATATTTGTATTGTAGGAGTTGTAAGAGTGTTGTAGTATAATTTTCATGATTTTTGATGAAAGATATGGTGTTTTGAAAAAATAAAAACTGAACTGATTTCTTGGCATTTTGACCACTTTCGGCTCACTTTTTGTAAAAACTAACTCCGGAAATGGAATCTACGCGAAAAATCGAGTGAGGGGTTGTATTTTGAGGATTTTTTGGTGACCGGAGAGGTCACCGGCGGTGGCGGTCGGCGGCGGCGGCGCCACCGGCAGCCGCCATGGCCGCCAGCTGAAGCTTCTTCAGCTGGCCGAAGGAGAAGAAAAAGAAACGGATGGGAAGTAGAAGAAGAAGAGAAAGAAAAAAAAAGAAAGAAAGAAGAAAGAAATGGTTTGGGCTAATGCTTTATCTTCGGTTGGGCCAAGAGTTAATTGTGGTTGGGTTTTGGAAATGGGTTTTGTTTTATTTCTTTTGGGTTTCGGTTGGTTTAGAAGGTCTGAGCCCATGTGTTTTCTTTGGTCAGGCTTGAGTGACAAAATGAAGGGCTGGCCTTGTGTTTTGGCTTGGACTTTCGGCTGGGCTTAGGTAGTATCCGGCCCAAATAAATAAAGTGATGGCCCAGTGGCCTGTTTTCTTAAGAAGATCTGCTAGCCAATTTGCACTTTAGCCCCTGATCTTTCAAGTACTTTCACTGCGGCCCAGAACATTTTAAATTCCTTTCAACTCGGTCCTTATATTAATTTCACTTTGGTCCCTGAATTTTATCTTTCATTTAATTTTGACCTCTAAACTTTGGAAAAATATAATTTTTGTCCCCAAAAGTTTTTCAGTTTTTGCAATTCAGTCCCTGATGAATTTTGACTCTCTTTATTATGATTATTTCTTTTCTTTAATAGCTAATTATGTTACTTTTGAGTATGTTCAATTTGTAATTTTTAGATATTCTTAAATTTATTTACGTTTGACATATTGAGGTGAATTTTCATTATTATTAGTTTTTTTCAATTAAATTGGTGCCATGATTCTTTTGTTCATTGTGAGTATAAATAGGACAATTTGACTCCATTTAGTCACCACTTCAAACGGGAGGTACCTCTATTTTTATTATTTCAATGTCAATTACGTGCTCTTATGTGCTCTTATGTGTTCCTATATGTTTATATTTTTATATGCTTTATTTATTTGATTTAAATATTCATTCAAATTTTCTTACATATGTTTTAGTTAATTTTTTACAATGATTCAAGAGGCATTTAAATACCTCAAAAATGTAATAGATAGGATAATTAGATTTGTTTTATTATATTTTTCCCTTCTAGATTGTAGTTAGGCGCTCCCTGATGTAATAGATAGGTTGCGTGTTTATGTGACTTATGTGTTATGTGTTTTATCCGCTTTTCTTAGGATTTTGGCATCTAGATATTATGTTTACGTGTTATGTGCTACGTGCTCTTATGTGTTTATTTGTTTTAATTTATGTTTTATTTGTTTCACTATGAATTGTTAATGCATGACGTCACCACACTAGTCCAACGCTAGTTGTGGTTTCTCCCTCCGCTTACTTGCTAGTCCAACGCTAGTAAGGACTTTTAGAAATGGGCTAGTCCAACGCTAGACCCTTTAGGTCATCTTGCGCTAGATTCATCTTTGTATGCTATTCAGTACATTTTCATGCATATTTTCGTTTTTAGGATCTTTTCTCATTTGCATGATATTCCCTATTATATTATCCCCTAACCGCTATAGGTGCTAATCATGTCATTTAGAATTGCATCTCATTTAAATTAGTTCATTTGCTTGTCTATGTTAGGAGAATTATTTTTCAAACATGGGAAATGGGTGATTATAACTTTTTAGTTTAAATACTCTATCAATCCATGTATAAGAAAATTATGTCACGAGTTTTTGCCTCCCGTACCCTTTATGTTGCATTCCATTTTTCTTTGATAACTTATATATATGTATATAATTTAATTTATTTTCTTTTATTTTAATTTCATTATTCGCATATTCGTGACACCTTCAAGGAATTATTTTGGCCCTCGCAATTAATGCGATTGGTTCAATTAAACCCTTGAATGAACATTTTGTCCCTTTCGATATTTTTATAAATTTAGATTTGCATCCATGTAGGAAACATCCAAATATGATAAAATTAAGGGTTAGATTAAGAAAATTTTGATTAAATCTCGCAACTAGCTTAGACTAGGTTGAAAGGGTGCCTTAGATTTGAGTTAATCGAATCTTTGCCTTCCCTTTCTTCAACCGTGACTCCCGAATCCATTTTCTCTTGTTTTCAAAGACCTGGAGTTGTCGAAAAGGGTTTTTTTTTTTATTTATTTATTTATTTATTTTATTTAAATACACTTTTTGGGTGACTTGGTACACCCAAACTCGATACCAAGTGGCGGCTCCTAATTTTTCTTCAAAACCCTTTTAGACTAAAATTTTGGACCCAAATTGTCGCATTTTTTAAGTCCCATTTTAGGTCCTTTTCACTTATTTTTGAATGGAAATCATAGCTTTTATAAATACCTATTTTTATACTTATATTTTCCATCGCGAAAAAATGGGGCGCGACACAAGCTAAAAAATACCGAATTACACCCGTTCACTGCAAGTATACAGATCAACTAGTAGTTTAGGGTATATATCGGGTTGATCCCACAAGGAAGAGTGAACAATTACCGGTATTACTAAAGCTTCTCTATTATTTAGACTATCAATAAATTATAACAAATTTAACCTACTGAAATTATACAAAATGACAAATAAAAGCTCCTTAGGTTGTAGTATCCCTAACTACTCATGCAAGTGTTATATTTGGATCATTGAATACTACATCTAGGCTAATTATGGTGTAATTTCCTTATGCATTTGAATCCTACTTTCGTAGTGAATCAATTATACTTATAACTAATCCATACCTATTCTCATGGTTATGAAATTAGCTACAAGTTCATTTCTTCAGTGAAATTACATGAAATGAATCACTAAAAACCACATAGGTGCACCTCTACTTTCGTGAGTGTACTTCCTATGTTTAGCACTTCTTGAACTAGTGTTAAATCTCAATTTTCATTGCAGAAATAACACCTTAGATAATCACAATTAATGGTACCAGATTAATCATGATTTAAAGAGCCAAAGTGCTAAATAACTTGCTCAAATCGTAGCAATCAAATAACCAAACAATTAACACTAACAATCATAGAAAGTTCAACCAAACCCAAGGTATAAACTTTAGAAACACATAATTAACACCAAAATCCAGAACTTGTATATTAACTAAACTTGGAATCAAATACAAAAGATAAAGAGTTTGGAAGGAATACAACCCTTGTCACATGAGCTTTCTTCCTTGCCTTCTTCATCCTCCATTTTCATCCTAATCTAGATAATAAACAAGAATGGAAAAGCTACACTACTCTATACTAAGCTAAACTAACACTAGGGAGATGAAAGAGCTACATTTCTGCAGCTTCAAGCTTTCTCTCGTAGCTCACTCTCTATTTTTCTGCTATGAACTCCCCTCTCCTCTTTTTGGAATGAATTTGGCTCTTTTATGATGAAAAGGTGGTCAAGAAATGAGGATTACATCTCCCTTTTACAGCTGGGAATGTTTCTCACATGTCTAGCATCCAATGTGAGTTGGTGGAGGTGAAATTGAGTTTTACGCGTACAGCGCAGCCTTTTCTGACCACAATCCGGCCAGTGATCCGAGCTGCTACAGTACCTTGGATCCGTATGGATCCGAGCTCGGTTCCACTAACCCAGAATCAACCGAGGGTTCGGATGAATAGTGGATCCGAGTGTGGATCACTTGCTCTGTTTTTGGCCCAACTTCAACCAATCTTTTCTTGATGTTAGAGGCTGAACCAGCTCATGTCTAAAACACGAAAGTTGTAGCCTTTTGAGTTATCTTTCTAATGCATCAAGAATCACCTCATTTGGATCTGTGTAGGCTGAGATATGACTGAAATACCCTTGCCTGCTCATTGCCCTGTTCCAGCTTCGACCAGTAGAAATTTGCTATTGTAATTCGGCATTTTGACCTGGAAAACCTTCAAACGGGATTTAGATGTCTTCACCAAAGTTGTAGATCTATCTCTTATCTTCAAATGAGTTCAAGAATCATCCCTATCCGATCATTGTAACTCAAGTTATAGCCGAAATACGAAAATGTATCAAAACTGTCAAAATACACAAAATCCCACTAAAAAGTGATAAAAACCTCATTTAATCATTTAAAAGCATTTTTCACCAATTATAGCCAAAATGATTCATTTTCTTCCAATAATATAACTAAAGTGACTAAAAATAATATAAAATATCATACAATTATTACGTAAATTAGTCACTTATCACTAACTTCGCTCGTAAGTTTACCTTTTTGGAATTTACGTATGATGCCTCAATAGTCCCCTTCAAGAATTAATAGCCGTCCAAATCTAAATATCTTTTGCCAAAGTGAGTTATTTCATGTCGCAGTTGTGACGACCCCACCTCCTCCTAGGGCATACCCTAGAAGTTAGCGGATCACCTGCCTGACTCTCGCTAAGACTTATTAATTTCACATTAACTTCAGAGATAACATTTTAATAAACTATTATTAATCTTACATTAATTTCAGAGATAACATTTTGGTGTACCAAAACCACACAACTAAATCTTTTACAATCCCAGGTTTAATACAAAGCCTAAACCGTAATAGGATACTAGAAAATTTACAATCATAAAAGGCTTCACGTTCACACCCTAAGTTTCCTCGTTCGTTTCCCGACTACCAACACTTGTAAGGAAAACAAAACTACAAGGTTGAACTAAAGCTCAGTGAGGTTCAAAAGTGTATAACCAATCATATTACAAAAACATTTATTAAACATAACTAATCAGGTAAGCAATTCAATAAGGTAAACATTCAATTAAAAGGATACAAGCTCCTTCAGGGAGACATTTCAATGTCACTACACACTCCGCCACAATCACCCCCTTATATCCTTCAAAACAATAAACAATCCCTTATATTCATTAATCAGTTCAATAATCTCCACACTTCAGGGTAATACTCGAGTATACCATTCAGTTGCTCAAGGTAGCTAACCTGGTCGATCAAGTCCTTTACTGGCCCGACTAGATCAACTAACCAAGGCTTAGGGCCCAATTCAGCCGATGTGATAAAGTACAGAATGGCCTACAATCATTCATGCACAATCCAATCAATAATTACTTCGATATACATTTCAGTTCATTTAGGCAATAGCGGTAAAGTACGCTCTAGCCTTTTATCAGTAATTCAAAACCAAGTAAAATTTTATATCATTCATTTAAATCACTTCATTTACCAATGCACAAGTAATCTTTCAAATAAACAAGTACAAACACTTTAGAACACTCACCAAGTTTCCAAATAAATCACTCTTGAGTCTCGGGTTTGTTTCTTGGCTCACAGCTACTTCCTGAGACAATTTCATAATTCAAAGTAATTATATAATTTGTAGATATTCACTTATTATTTATTACCCTATTATTTGATCGATTAAAGTCAAGTTTGACTTTAAAATACAAAATATAATATATTTACTATTTTTTTACATTTTATTTCAAAATGTATTAACTTTATTATTTTAAACTAAGAATTATACATTTTTCCCAGGTTTGTATCTTTATATAATATTTAAATCAGGAATATATCTTTCTCAATTCAATATTGATTAATTACAGCTTATAGACGCTCTGTTTGTTCCCTTTTTTAATCAACTAAACTCTAGGTTGTTTGTAAATTAAGTTTTGTTTCACGCTACCAGCCTCCCTTAGGTTCTAGGGCCTTTAAAATGTTCTTGAAGACATGATTAAGTGATTAGCAACCGTCTTATGTATCTAATTATAATAAATTGCCTTAAGGTTTCCAAAATAATATAAGAGTTCACTTCATTACTATGTTAGCTGTTAAATCAAGTTCTAGCAATATACTTCATAATTTTCATCAATATTTCATCTTCTACTTGGTAAAATATTAATCACTCAGTATTTACCCCGTCCCTGCTGAAGTTGAATCAAATAACATGTACTATTAACACATAAACCCAACAAAACAACAATAAGTTCCGTTTTTAGATAAATGTAACTTCCTAGCAATGTACACAGTCCAACATTCATTGTTTCCCTTAAATCCTTCCTTTCAATTTTATGTTCCAACTAGATAGACAAATCATGTTTATTAAGCCATAAGATAGCCTTAGTCAGATCGTAGAAAATTTTGCACCAAACTTAAAAGAGAAGCTGATCAAGACTTTTCCCCCTCAGCCATGATGTACTTCAGCATTCTAATTCACAGCTTCCTCCTCATTTGCTTTAGTTTAACTCTATTCACGGTGCTAAATGTAGTTACTAATCACAAGGCAACCTTAGTTCCACCTGTGGATGTTCACAGAGTTAGAAAAGGGAAGAAAAGCTGCTCCAAAAGCTGAGTTCCTTCCCTTTAGTATCATAGCAGTTTGCATCAGCTTCCTATTGCCAAATTTAGCTAAACTTCCTAAAGTCTTCTGATTTCCAAGGCATCTATCTATTAAGTTAAAAGATTAACATGTCATCCACGTATTCATTAGTAAGAGTTCCAGAATTAGCAACATTAAATTATACAGCCTGCTTCTTTCCCTCGGCCAAGCTACCTGCAATCAGTCAAATGCACTTGTCCTGCTATGTTCACTTTAGTTCCTACTTGTTTTGGTCTTGATTGTTGAGGTTTAAGGTCTATATGACATGTTACAACTTACTATGCAGGTTTTGAAACTAAGGGTTTATAGGGAACACTTAGCACTTCTACCTGTTCTACTCTGTCAAGGCTAACAAGTTCAGCAGACAGTCATTGTGTAGCTACCTTTTCTCCTTTTATTCCTCCTCAGTTTTCTACTCCAGATCATCGTACAGGGTATATTGATTTAACTACCCGGTATCCTAAGTAAAGTGTAGCAGTTTATGATCAAAATTTAGAAGGAAAGCTGAATGGAATCTCAGGTCTGCGCAAGACTGCTAAATCTGGTGCATAGCAGCCTGCACCAGATTACTTTCATGCACACAGTTCTAATTTTTACAAGCTTCTACAGTTAATCCTTCTTTATTACTTAAAGCGGACGTAATTCATACATTCCTAGCCATACAATTAGTACCTATCTCACGGTTAGAAGTCAGAACTTCCTCTTAGCAGACTATCGGTTCTAAACAAAATTTCTCCTGCAACAAAACTTAGTTTTTCTTGGCTAGATTCCAGCACAGACAACATGCAAATTCAAATATATCAGATGATTAAGAGGTTGTATACAATTTTTCCATCGTTCACGGACTAAAATTCGAACATCAGTTTTCAGTTTCTTCCAAATCTGTCCAACAGTTTATCTCCTTCAAACAGAATTTCACCTTAGCTAAGAGTCCATTTCTTGACTAAATTCTCATGCAGCTCGCATATTAATCTATTTATACCGAATGGACAGAAGATTATTGCAGGTTCTTACCTCTTCTCCTAAGGTTTGATACCGCAGGCTGTTCAAATTTTCTGGTCCTAATTCCTCAAGTCTTAACTCCAATTCCTTCTGCTTCCTTGCAGCACCTTCCTTATCTTTGGTTGTTTGGTGATAAAGCTAGCTATGCTCTTGCTCTCACTTCCTCACTCTCTCTGTTTTTCTCTCGATGTTAGCTTGATAAAGAGAGGGACTGCAGTTTTGTTTTGCTCCCAGCCACCGCCCCAAATTTAACAGTTAGTTTTCTCTTTTCCTACTCGGTCATCGCTTGGATTTGGCAGATCATTGGCTGTGAAATTTTCCTTTGGTTTCTCTCAATCACCGCCCAAACTGGACTCCTATTTACTTCCTCAATTCCACCGCTTAGGTTTAGTAGTTTTGATGGCCATTTTCAATTGATTGTCCTTCAGCCACCGCCCAAGTTTCCTTGCAAATAATGTACCTTACTTCCTTAGGCCGCATGATAGTTTAACCAAAATTCCAAGGTTGGTTTAGTCTTTCAATTTTAGTTCATTTATTTGCCATGAGTCCGTAATTTTATTGATAGAGTGTTAATTATTAGTAATTTTATTATTAATTTTTCTCTTTATCCTTACCAAATATTATTTTAATTGTTAACATATACTTATATTTAGTATTTGGATCTAATTTCAGGAAGTGAAGCAGAAAAGTGCTAAAAGGGAGACTTTCTTGAGAAAAATACTACACACGTGGGAAGCTTCCAAAAGATCTACAACCCTGGCTCCACAATTTTGCTACAACGGAGCCCTTTCCTTTGCTGACTAGGAGTTTTACTATCAATAGGACACGAAAAAACAAGGAATAGGGGATAGTAGCTTTACCTTTTGTTTTCTTTTCCTGATTAGAGAGGAACTAACGAGGAGAAGGCCAGTGATTGTTTGAGATTAGATGGCTTTGTACGTACTTTTCCTTCGTTCCCTTTTTTGTTCCCCATTACTCTCGACTGGAGCAAAATTTCAAATTCTCTTTGACTATTCGAAAAAAGGATACCTTTGAAATCAATTAAATCGCGTGGAAATTTTCTCATGAGGCGTGGCTAAACTCTTCATCTAGTCAAGGATCAACGCGACGACGCAGTCCCGAATATCTGTGAAATTGAATTAGTTTTCATGCATTCCTTAACTTGTTAATATTTGCACGTTTTCTATTTGAAATTCTATGAGATTATTATTGTTGATTGGATGTTAAGGGCCCAATATTCATGGTGACTTGTTAATCTCTTGCCAATTTAATCAACTAAATCCGTAATTGTTTAATCGATTAATGTTAGTGGCAACTAACGTTTATACACACTAGGGGAGCGTGCAATCTGATTCAAATAACCCTCATAGCGTGTTATTGATTGGGGTTAGGTTTTTCTAATTTTTAATGCAATTAGAAAATTAATTCCTACGGTCGTACTTAGGAGTGTTTTCTAGTTAGAGGTAATCAATGGTCGTACCTTGATTATTAATAAACTAAGAAAAAATTAGCTGTCAGAACTCGTTGGCGACTATAACTAACTTATTAATAAATTAAGTGAACCCTCCTTGCATCAATGATCGGATGAGTAGACTGTGTCTGCGAAATTGTATGCTTGGTTAGAATTTATCTATTTTTGATTTAATTCCTGTTTACATTCGTATTAGTTAATTATTTGTTTTTAGTTGAGTTGTTTAATTGCTCTTATTTTTATTTCGACAAAATCCCCCATTGCTAATTGGAATTTCAAAAAGACAAATAGCCCAGTCCCTGAGGAGACGACCTTACTTGCCATTTATACAAATCAATAATTCCTTGTGAATAAGCAAGCCCATTCTGGTATATCGGATTAAACAAACTCTTCGGGAACAGGGTGAATCAAGTAACCCATTGCACATCCAGAGTCCCTGCTCTAGTACTTAGAATCAGGTTTTGATTACTTTAATTGGCAACTAGGTTTATTTTTATTATTGCACAGGCATCGGCAATTTGTCAATTTTTGGCGCCGTTGCCGAGGACTGGCATTAATTATTTGTTTCTTTTTAAGTTCATTTTTGTTTTAATTTTCTGGTACTTTTCTAGTTTATGTGTCGTTCTTCTAGTACAGGCGAATTAATTTTCGACCCTGAAGTAGAGAAGACCGTGCGTAGAACGAGGAAAGAGACCAGACAACTCAGAGAGAAGCAGTCCAATGTTGCACTTCAAAGACTTGATCCAGAGGTTGAGTCGACAAATTTGCGTGGTGATAATTTGAGTGATTCAAACCAAGAAAAGTCACTATGGAGAATGCACAAACACTAAGAGAGTTGGCTACTCCTGATTTAAATCAACAGCCCTTATGCATTACTTTTCCGCATTTAAATGATAACACATCTTTCGAGTTAAAATTTGGCCTAATTCATCTTTTACCATCTTTTTATGGTTTACCAGGTGAGGAGCCTCATAAGCACTTGCAAGAGTTTGACGTTGTCTGTAATAGTATGAAGCCCCCGAGAATTACCGAAGAACAGATAAAAATGAGGGCATTCCCCCTTCACTTTCAAGGACTCCATAAAAGATTGGTTATACTATCTACCGCCAGATAGTATCACCATTTGGGAGCAGTTGAAGAAAAAATTCTTGGAAAAATATTTTCCTGCTTCCCGAGCTGCAAGTCTGAGAAAGGAGATCTGCGGTATCAAACAACATTCAGGCGAGTCTCTGTATGAGTATTGGGAGAGGTTCAAAAAGATATGTATCAAATGCCCTTAGCACTAAATAAGTGATCAACTGCTCATCCAATATTTCTATGAGGGGCTACTCTTTAGGAATAGAAGCATAATCGATGCTGCAAGTGGAGTAGCGTTGGTGAACAAGACTCCTCGAGAAGCATGGGAGTTGATTGAAGGGATGATTGAGAATTCACAGCAGTTTAGTTCAAGAGAGGATGTCCCAACGCGTAAGGTGAATGCGGTAAAAACATCCTCTATCCAACAGCAACTCTCTGAATTGATGTCCTTCGTGCGACAACTAGCTGTGATAAATACCCCACAAACCAAAGTATGTGGGATATGCATTGCCTTGGGTCATTCTACATAGATGTGTCCGCTAGTTCAAGAAGAAAATGCAGAACAAGTAAACATGGCTGGTTACGCGCCCGCGCCAAGAAAGCAATATGACTCATATTCAAATACATACAACCCTGGTTGGAGGGATCATCCCAACCTCAGCTATGGGGGGAATAGGCAGTCTAATTTTGTGCCAAATAGACAACAAGGGTACCAGCAGCTGTATCAATCTCGACCACCACCTCCTCCGCCGAGCGCCAATCCATCTTTGGAAGATATGATGAAACAATTGATGGCCAGTACTGCATAATATCAACAAAAGACGAATTCCGAACTGCAGAACATAAGGAATCAAATGAGCCAGATGCAATCAATGCAAAATCAGATGAATCAAATGGCCATAACGATCAACTGTTTGGAGTCCCAAGTTCAAGGGAAGTTGCCATCTTAATCTGAATTGAATCTGAAAAATGTAAGCGCAATGACCTTGAGGAGTGGGAAAGAAATCCAAGGACCCGAACCCATGATTCTTAAGGAGAAGGATGAGGAACGAATTGAGAAAGAACTTGAAGAGGAATGCAAATGCAACAAAGATCTAGAGGTACTCCCGGACCCAATCATTACAATTAAGACTAACCTACCTCCCTTTCTTAATAGTTTGGAGAAACCAAAAAAGCAAGACAAGAAGAAAGAGATCCTGGAGATCTTTCGCAAGGTGAAAAATTAACATTCCTCTGTTGGATCCGATTAAACAAGTACTCAAATACGTAAAGTTTCTGAGGGACTTGTGTGTCAACCGAAGGCGGTTGAAAAGAGATGAACGAATTATAGTGGGAGAAAACGTGTCAGCAATTCTACAAAGAAAGCTACCACCGAAGTGCGGAGACCCAGGTATATTTACTATTCCCTATAGGGTAGGTAATACCTTGATTGGAAAGGCCATGTTAGACCTAAGAGTCTCGATTAATGTCATGCTAAAGTTTATATATACTTCTCTGCACTTAGACCCTTTAAAGGAAACTGGGATAATAATCCAACTAACTGACTGCATCAATGCGTACCCTGATGGGTTGATTGAAGATGTTTTGGTCAAAATTAATGAATTAGTTTTCCCAACTGATTTTTATGTACTTGACATGGATGATGAACACCCCCACGACCCATCATGCTTACTGTTAGGTAGACGCTTTTTGAGTATAGCCCGGACAAAAATTGATGTTAATAAGGATACCCTATCTATGGAATATGATGGCTAGATTGTTCATTTTAACATCATTGAGACCATGAAACATCCTTCAGATTCAAATTTCATCTCTGTTTTCTTTGTAAGTGTTATTAACCCTGCGATACAGGAGGTTTTTGAAACTAATGGCAAGGATGAGTTAGAAGTCGCCTTGACTAAGTACTTCGAGTTAGAGACGACCTCTGGGGTAGAGTTGAGTGAAGAAGTAAAATGTGTGATTGGAGCATTGCAATCGTTGCCAACCACGAAATCAAGGTATGACCTCGCGCCCATTTTCATATCTAAATCTCACCAAAGGTTACTTCCATCTGTGGTGCAGGCTCCTGTATTGGAATTGAAACCCCCCACCGAAACATCTGAAGTATGCATACTTGGGTGAGGAGGGGACACTCCCAGTGATCATCTCCGCGGGTTTATCAAAAGTTCAAGAAGACAAACTAATTCGGGTTCTTAGGGAACATAAGCAGGCGATAGGGTGGACCATCGCCGATATCAAGGGAATTAGCCCCGCGGTGTGTATGCATCGGATTCGATTCGAGAAGGGTGCTAAATTCGTGCGGCAAGTTCAAAGGAGACTAAATCCCCTCATGATTGAGGTCGTAAAAAAAGAGATTCTGAAACTACTGGTTGTGGGGATCATATTCGTAATATCAGACAGCTCATAGGTGAGTTCGGTACAAGTGGTCCCGAAAAAAGCAGGGGTGACGGTGGAATCAAATCAAGAGGACAAACTCGTGCCAGTTCGAAAGCCCACCGGGTGGCAGCAGTGTATCGACTATAGAAAATTAAACGCCGTCACAAAAAAGGACCATTTCCCCCTTCCTTTCATTGATCGGATGGTAGAGCGATTAGCATGTCGAGTTTACTATTATTTTTTGGATGAATTTTCAGGTTATTTTCAAATTGCTACCGCACTCGAGAACCAGGAGAAGACCACCTTCACGTGCCCGTTTGGAGTGTTTGCATACAGACGAATGCCATTCGGATTGTGCAATGTACCTGCTACCTTCCAAAGATGCATGGTAAGCATTTTTTCAGAGTATGTTGAGAAGATTATTGAGGTTTTCATGGACAATTTCAGCGTGTATGGTGAAAGTTTTGATAACTATCTAGATAATCTGAAATTAATCTTAGTAAGGAGTATAGAAATTAATCTGGTGCTTAATTGGAAAAAATGCTATTTTATGGTCGAACACGGGATAGTTTTGGGGCATGTAGTATCGTCTAGGGGTATTGAGATTGATAAGGCGAAAATAGACGTTATATCTATTTTGTCTTACCCCGTGAGTGTGCGGGAAGTGCGTTCCTTCTTAGGTCATGCAGATTTCTATCGAAAATTCATCAAAGATTTCTCGAAATTTGGACCACTTTTGTTCCAACTTTTGCAAAAAATGGTGCCCTTCGCATTCAATGAAGCATGTAAGGGGGCATTCGATAGGTTGAAGGAGCTATTGACCTCGCCACCTATTATCCAACCCCCAGACTGGAACCTATCATTTGAGATCATATGCGACGCCAGCGATTATGCAGTGGGCGCAGTGCTAGATCAAAGAGTGGGAAGAGCAGCCCATGCTATTTACTACGCGTCCCGAGTCTTGAACGGAGCTCAACTAAACTATTCAACTAACGAGAAGGAGCTTTTGGAGATTGTTTTTGCTTTAGAGAAGTTCCGGTCATATTTACTAGGTGCTAAAGTTATTGTCTTTTCCGATCATGTAGCGTTGCGGTATTTGCTGATCAAGAAAGAGGCAAAATCGTGACTAATAAGGTGGATATTATTATTACAAGAG